GGAGATCAGCTCTGTGCTTTGTGACCACCTAGAGGGGTGGGATAGGGAGGGTGGAAGGGAGATGCAAGAGGGAGGAGATAATGGGGATATATGTATATGTATAGCTGATTTACTTTGTTATAAAGCAGGAAAAAAGACACCACTGTAAAGCAATTATACTCTAATAAAGGTGTTAAAAAATGTAATGATATCCATTTCTAAGAACATGAAAACATGATTTAAAAATCACTGTATTCTACAATGGAATATTACTCAGCCATAAAAAAGAATGAAATAATGTCATTTGCAGCAACATGGATGAACCTAGAGATAATCATTCTAAGTGAAGCAAGTCAGACAGAGAAAGACAAATACATGACATCACTTATATGTGGAATCTAAAAAAAGGATGCAAATGAAGTTATTTACAAAACAAAAATAGACTCAGACATAGAAAACAAACTTATGGTTACCAAAGGGGAAAGTGGAGAGAGGGATAATTAGGAATTTGGGATTAACCAATACACACTACTATATATAAAATAGATAAACAGCAAGGACCTAATGTATAGCACTATAGCACAAGGAACTATATTCAATATCTTGTAATAGCCTATAATGGAAAATAAGCTGAAAAAGAATATACATATATATATATACACACACATGACTGAATCACTTTGCTATATACTTGAAACATTGCAAATCAACTATAGTTTAAAAAAATCACTGTATTCTAAATAAAACATCTTTTGGACTAAGGCAGTGTTTCTGAAACTTTTTTTTCCCATTATTGCCCTCCCTGTACAGGAGAAAATTTAAATTAAATTTAAATTCTTCCTAGTGAGAGAAATAAGGAAAAAGATTTTGTTGGGTAGAGTTGAGTTTTGAAGGAGCACAAGCCACTATCATATCTAAGGGTCTTTTTGCCTCCAAGAAAGAAGTTTCAGAATGCATGGTATAAGCCCATTAACAGAAAACTGCAAATTCAAGATTCTGCCCAACTAGTTTTAGACGCACTGATGGGCCAGGTGTCATCCCCTTGGCTGTGTCTGAAAATATCAAGACTCTCAATGTGCTTCTCACCCTTAGCTCACCCTGATGGGAGTGTGTTGTGGGTTTTTCCTCATCTTTAAAATGAGACAGTAGTTTCACGCTCTCTCATAGTTTTAGGGACAAGGGAAACATTTGAAAATATTTTGAACATTGAATCTAATGTTTACTTTATGGAATCTAACAAATCTGTTTTCTTGAAAGGAGATATCTGATAATTTGCCTTACCCATTAATTAGCTGAGAGGCCTAATGGTGTTCCTTCCCTGAAAGACTCTCTGCCTCCTTGTTCCTTCCTAAACATACTAAGTGTACTTTAAAATAGATAGATATTTAAATTAGATATTACAGCCTTCCAGAAAGGCTGTAATAGGTGTTTCCCTTAATGAACACCATAATTTCCTTTTACCATAGGATTGTTACAAGGATTAAATTATTTAACATACATAAAATGCCTAGCACAATAAACTTTCTCTTTAGTATAAAACACATGGACTTCCCTGGTGGCACAGTGGTTAAGAATCCGCCCGCCAATGCAGAGACACGGGTTCAAGCTCTGGTTCGGGAACATCCCACACGCCGCAGAGCAACTAAGTCCGTGCGCCACAACTACTGAAGCCTGTGTACCTAGAGCCTGTGCTCCGCAACAAAGAGAAGCCACCACAATGAGAAGCCCGCGCACCGCAACGAAGAGTAGCCCCCGCTCGCTGCAACTAGAGAAAGCCCCCATGCAGCAACGAAGACCCAATACAGCAAAAATAAATAAATAAATAAAACATGAAGCCATAAATTATGAAAGAAACAATATATAACCAACTGAAAAGCAAAGAGCTTATTGTCTAAGTGACTGAAACTATTGTTGACATAACCACAATACCATTATCGCATCTAAAAAAATTCTTTACTATGATCAATTTTCCAAGTATTATACATGTTCAAGTTTCCCTGAGAGTCTCATAAAATGTTTTTGACAATTGTTTTGTTTGAATCAAGATCCATACAAGGTTCACACACTGCATTTACTTGATACACCTCTTAAATTTCTTAATTTTAGGTTCCCCTCCCTTTTTTTTTCCCTTTCCATTTATTTGTTGAACTGTGTCATTTGTCCTATAAAGTTTCCCACACTGGATTTTGCTAATTGAATCACTGTGGTGGTGTTAACATGTGCCTCTATCCCTCTAGTTCTTGTAAACTTGATAGTTGGATCTGGTGGCTTTCTCAGATTCAGGTTTGATGTTTTGGGCAAGAAGGCTTCATAGGTGCTGCCATTTACTCATTACACCCAGCAGAAGGGCTATAGTTAATAATGTAGACACTCAATGGTAATGTTGATCAGTGAGCGCTGTCAGGCTTATTTGTTCATCAAAAAGTCTCCAACAGTCTTTCATTTAATGCCACCCTCTTCTTAACATGCCTTCTTGGGCTTTAGTATCTAGAAGGCTAAAAATGCATTTCTCAAATTCCCTTGCAGCTAGAGTTATTGATGTGATATAAATTCCACCACTAGAGGCACCAGTGTAGAGTGAACTAAGTGGGGGAGGAGCAGTTTATGAGGCATCTTCGTGACAGGGTGTATTGTAGTGAAGGACATATGGCTGTGGAACCAGTAGCTGTAGGGGTGGCTTCCCCATTCAACAGGTGGACTTCGAGAATGGCCTGAACAACAGTCCCTTGACAGCTCGGTTCTATAGCCTGGATTTGTGAGTCACTCCTGAAGCTTAGCCGGCAGGCTGTTTTTGCAATCCTGCCAACCATTTGTAATAGACCATGTAATAAATCCCTTTTGGCTTAAATTACTGAAGAGTAGATTTTGTTCTCTGCTTTGAACACTGACCAATACAGTTCCTCTAAGAAAAAGTATTTTCAGCAGTTGTCAAACAGTTGCCTCTCTGATTTTAAGAAGTGAATTTATTAATAGTTAAACTTGTTAACAATTGCCTGAGTATGTAAAGTAGATATTCTAGGAAGATATGTCTTTTTAAAACAAAAAAATCATATAGCAATTTCACATTCCCATTGTATAAACTTTCTAAAAAGAAACACGAAGTGCTTCCCCCCCACCCCAGTTTTTTGAGAAATAATTGACAAACATTGCTATACAAGTTTAAGGCAGACAGCATGATGGCTTGATTTACATATATTGTGAAACGATTACTACAATAGGTTCAAGTGACATCTATCATCTCATAGATTCAATAAAAAGAAAACAATTTTCTCCTTGAGATGAGAGCTCTTAGGAGAGCTCTTAGATGAGGCTCTCCTAACAACTTTCCTGTATGTCATACAGCAGGGTCAGCTATAGTCATCATGTTGTACAGCACATCCCTAGTACTTAGTTATCTTATAACTGAAAGTTTGTACCTTTTGACCATCTTCCTCCAATTCCCCCTCCTCCCAGTGTTTTTTAAAAACATTTAAAAATTAATCCATGTTAAGAAAAATTAATCCATGTCCATTAATGAAGACAATTTTATTGAAAGGTAATTTAAATATTGTCTTCACAAAATTTTAATTCCATAATGTGAACTAAAAAGTATAACTCTTCAGTCTAGTAAAGAGATTTTTATTCAATATTTTACTACATAAATGTTCAAACACAGAGAAGTTAAAAGAATTATACCATGACCTATCCAGTGACCTAATTATACGTATACCTGTCACCTGGACTCTACAGTTAACATTGTTATATTTGCTTTATTACATACCTAACCATCTATGCATCCCTCTATCATACATTAATCTATCTTATTTTTTGATACATTTCAAAGTAAGTTGCAAACATAGTATATAGTATTTGGGCACTGAAGGGCTTCCAAATGACATAAAATGCATTAGAAAGTAAACTAGTCTATAGTGTCCTGAATTGTCAAGTCCTGGCAAAGATCTAGAGAAGGAGTTGCACGGAGTGTAAATGGCATCAATCAGAGTCAGAGACTCAATGTGAAATCTAGCAAGATTGCAACACTCTCTGCCTTTACCCTCAGAACTCTCCTCCTCTTTTTACAGTTACTTTAATTATAAAAGAGGAAATACATAACTGGCCCCTCTCCCCGTCAAATGATTTGTGCTGTTGAAGGTAGCAATTCTTTAGATCAGAATCTCAGAAAACTTGCTGGAAATCAAGATGTTATATTTTCGGAAATGAGCTGGCATCATAAACTCAATGTTAATTTGGTTATTGTTACTCTCCTTGAGGGCAGGGGCTTAGTTTGTTTTATCATTTATCCCCAGCATGTAGAACACTGCCTGGCACATACTAGTGTTCAATACATATTCACTGAAGGAAGGAGTGAATTCAAGTGCTTGATTCCAAACATAATCTTCATATATTTCATGCCACCACTAATGAAAGAAGTTTTTCTAAAATAAAAATAAGCCTTAACATAAAAATAAGATCATGGGTTGGTTACCTAGAGCTGGAACTGCAATTACACAGAAGGGACCATGGTTTCCATATGTGCAGCAGGAACCTCAGCACCAGCCTACCGTGCACCCGCCGCTGAGGCTCAGCTGACTTGTGGGGCACGTTGTGCCAAAGCCCATGGCTGGGAAGAAGCAGCATTGCCTTTTCATGTTTTTACTTTTTAGTCTTTACTGAATTTATTACAATATTGCTTCTGTTTTCTGTTTTGGTTTTTTGGCCCCGAGGCATGTGGGATCTTAGCTCCCCGACCAGGGATCGAACCTGCAGCCCCTGCACTGGAAGGTGAAGTCTTAACCACAGGACGGCCGGGGAAGTCCCAGCCCTGCCTTCTGATGGGGCCCATAGGAAAACTTCCCAGAACTGTTTGGGCACTTTGCAAACACACCCTGGACTGCCCAGAAACAAATGCGAAGTTTGTCTGTAAATCAGTGGGGGCAAGAGTCAGTGGAATGTGAATTATTACCGGTGATGTTACTCTCCTCTTGTACCTTCAGACTGGTGATACCTGAGGAAATTTAAATGTGCTGCAGTGTTAAAATTACCTTTTTAAGGTGATAATTTTCTTTGAGATTTCCTTGGCCCGGAAGAGCATTTCCATATTCAGCACAAGTTCATCAAGCTAGCACACATCTCAACAGCTACTGTGAGATTTTTAAAAATATATTTTAGTCTCTTCAAGAGGATGAGAGACAAATTATTTTTTATTGTGTCTGTATAGAGAGCAACATAAACAATAATTTCAAATCTATTCAGTTTTCCTGTTAGAGATCACAATGGTGGCCTACCGAGATGGGAATCAAGGGACCGGCAAATTAGAAAGGTTTAAAAACCATAAAATCACCTTGTATTTTATACTCAAAATCGGTATGTAGAGAAATTTTATGCCATAAGCTATAAAAGGTTAAATGTCCAAAGCAATCTCCTGCTACAGCTAGTGCTACCCTCTCACTAAATAAACATATGCTCTGCAGGTCCCCACAAGACTTTCAAATAGCCCAGTGATGACTGTCATTAAAACATACCTAAGAGAAATCACATTCTTCCAAGTGAGACATCAGAGGCTCCCTGCCACTTGGGAGAATGTGATGAATTCAAGCACTGGATATTGGTGGAAGGTGGTTGACTAAGACCAAATATTCATTTGCTTTTTCTAAGAATGTTGCTTCTCTATGTCAAAGTTTCCACTAGCCACTGGTACATTCAGAGAAATAAGAAACATGCAGTGAGCGACACTTTCATAAGGGTAAACGTACCCAATTGAATTGAAATTTCTTTTTCTCTGTCTTTATGACTTTCCTATTTATTTGGTGTTAAGATGTCCTTTTAGTAGTGGTGATGAATGCTAGTTTTATATTTTCTTGCACTTACCTTGGCAAAAATGAAAGTAAAAAACTCCATGTTAGTCTCCAAAATTATCTTGAAAATTTAACTGTACATGAAAGTCCAATGTCTAGAAAAACCAAAAAGTCTCTTCCAAAATAAGATTCTGCAATGCAAAAAATAAATAAAATAATCAACAACTCTATGAATTCATTTTCCCTATTCAGGTGTTGGACATGAAACTGAACAAGTTGAAAATATTGGTTGGTAAGGCAGGAATTCCCTCATTTTCAGCCCCCTAAAGCATCTCAAATTCCCTCAAGGGATGTAATAAAATTAACTAATACAAGATAACTTCTGAAGTCAACTGCCTAAGTTTAATTCTTAGCTCTAACATTTACCAACTGTATTATCTTGGTCAAATTACTTAACCCACTCTGTGCCTTGATTTCCTTATTCACAGAATGGAGATAATAATAGTATCTACATCATAGGGCTGTTGTGAAGATTAAGTCAGGTAATCCATGTAAAGATTTCATCATCACTTTTTCATCATCCTAAACTGAAACTCTGTACCTATTAAACAATAACTACCCATTACCTCTTCCCCCCAGCTCCCGGCGAACACTGTTCTACTTTTCATCTCTATGAATTTGACTAATCCAGGCACCTTATGTAAGTGAAGTCAGACAGTATTTGCTTTTTGTGCCTGGCTTATTTCACTTAGCACAAAGTTTCCAAGGTTTACTCATGTTGTAGCATGTATCAGAACTTCACTCCTTTTTAAGGTTAATAATACTCACTTCTATGGAAATACCACATTTTGTTCGTCCATTCATTTATCAATAAAAATTTAGGTTGTTTCCACCTTTTGGCTATTGTCACATTACATATTCTTAATAAATTACTTGAATTATTTATTAAGTTATAATTTACTACTTTTGGGAGGATCTTACATGCAAGCCACAAAATCAAGCAAGAATTTACTCTGAGTTTCACATCTCATCACCCCCAAGTAATTGGATTGTGCTGATAAAATTACTGTGAAAGCTCTTAGTAATTCATCTTTGTGCAATATCATTGCAAGTCACTTAAGCTCTCTCAATTTCATCATTTGTAGAATAAGAACAATAGACACCAAAAGCAAAAGCTACAAAAGCAAAAATAAATTCAAGTGGGACTACATCAAACTAAAAAACTTCTGCACAGCAAAGGAAACCATCAACAAAATGAAAAGGCAACCTACTGAATGGGAGAAAATATTTGCAAATCATATATCAGATAAGGGGTTAATATCCAAAATATATAATGAACTCATATATCAGAAAACAAATAATCCAATTAAAAACTGGGTAGATAACATGAACAAGCATTTTTCCAAAGACATACGGATGGTCAGCAGGTACATGAAAAGATGCTCTACATCATTAATTATCAGGCGAATGCAAATCAAAACCACAATGAGATATCACCTCATACATGTCAAAATGGGTATTATCAAAAGGACTCAAAGAGGATGTAGAGAAAAGGGAACCCTTCTGCATTGTTCATGGGAATGTAAATTAGTGCAACCGCTATGCAAAACAGTATTTAGATTACTAAAAAATTAAGAATAAAACTATCATATGATACAGAAATTCTACTTCTGGGCATTTATCCAGAGAAAACGGACTAATTCAAAAAGATAAATGAACCCCATTCATTGCAGCCTTATTTACAATAACCAAGATATGGAAACAACCTGAGTGTCCACTGATGGATGAATGGATAAAGAAATTGTGGTATATATATATATATATATATATATATATACACACACACACACACACACACACACACACACACACAATGGAATATTATTCAGCCATAAGAAAAGAATGGAATTGTACCATTTGCAACAACATGGATGGACCTCGAGTGCATTATGCTAAGTGAAATAGTGAGATGTCAGACAGAAAAAGACAAATACTGTATGATCTTTTTTAAATGTGGAATCTAAAATATGTATATAAAGCTAAGCTTATAGATACAGAGAATAACCTTTAAAGGAATGACATACCCAAGGATATGACATAAACTGGTTAGAACCGATTAGGCCCAAAATGGTAGAAGATTTGACTTCCAGTAGAACTTGAGACTCACTGTAATACATTAGCATGCTAAATGACACACCCACCAGCAACAGGACAGTTCTGAGGCTGACCATAAAAGGCCAAAAAGTGGGTGGTGGCCCAATTCCTGGAAATCCCTGTCCCTTCCCCAAAATAGCTGGAATACTCCTCCCACTTGTTAGCCTATGAAACAACCCAGCCCATAAAAACGAACCACCCCATATTTGGGGGCCAGTCTCCCTTCTGAGACAGAACACATTCTGTCTGTGGAATATGTATCTCTCTAAATTAACTTGCTTCCACTTCACTGTGGCTCGCTCTTGAATTCTTTCCTGTGTGAAGCCAAGGACCCTCACCTGGCAGCCCATCCCAGGGACTCACTTGAGACCTGGGACATGACCATCCTCTTGAAGTGCATTTTTCCTGCAACACCAGGGTTTAGAACCCTGAAGGACTAGGGAAGAACCAAACAACAGTCTCAACAAGTGGATGCTAATGCTCTTCTTCAGAGCATGGCTGAGATTCTTGCTTTTTGGAGCATTCTTGGTGTTTGCTAGTTTCTAAGCATGGTTCTTCAGCCTACTGAAAATACTGATATCCTTCCAATAAATTCCCCTTTGCTTAAGTTGGCTGAAATTGGTTTATAGTGCTTACAGCTGAACTCTGATAAGAGAAAGCAAAGGCAGCCTGCTGCTTCTGCAGGTTTCAGCAACCTCTCCTGGTATCTAGCCATCTGAATCCTTTCCAATTCACATCACAGAAATACTCTGAATGTTTCAAGCCTTGGGGTCCTTGAGACCCCAAGCACTAAATTCCACATTTATACCAGTTGTTCAGGGAACAATCTCTGAAGGAAAAATACATGGAATCCTCTTATGGATTTTACATTTAACTTTCAATATGCTACTGATTTGCAACAAACGTGGAAATACCGGCTAAGACAACCATGAGTGAAACAAAGCCAAGTGAGATCCAACAATTATGGCTGGTGTCAAGTTGGATGAGTCTTCTCCATGTTGAAATGAGACAAGTACTTAATAGGAGTGTATTAAGGCATATATGAGAAAAAGGAGAAAAGCAATTATTTGAGGAGAGGGGGAAGATGGCGGAAGAGTAAGACGCGGAGATCACCTTCCTCCCCACAGATACACCAGAAATACATCTACACGTGGAACAACTCCTACAGAACACCTATTGAACGCTGGCAGAAGACCTCAGGCCTCCCAAAAGGCAAGAAACTCCCCACGTACCTGGGTAGGGCAAAAGAAAAAAGAATAAACAGAGACAAAAGGATAGGGACGGGACCTGCACCAGTGGGAGGGAGCTGTGAAGGAGGAAAGGTATCCATACACTAGGAAGCCCCTTCGCGGGCGGAGACTGCGGGTGGCGGAGCGGGGAAGCTTCGGAGCCGCGGAGGAGAGCGCAGCAACAGGGGTGCGGAGGGCAAAGCAGAGAGATTCCTGCACAGAGGATCGGTGTCGACCGGCACTCATCAGCCGGAGAGGCTTGTCTGCTCACCCGCCGGGGCGGGCGGGGCTGGGAGTTGAGGCTCGGGCTTCGGTGGGAGCGCAGGGAGAGGACCGGCGGCGTTAACACAGCCCGAAGGGGTTAGTGCACCACGGCTAGCCGGGAGGGAGTCCGGGGAAAAGTCTGGACCTGCCGAAGAGGCAAGAGACTTTTTCTTCCCTCTTTGTTTCCTGGTGCGCGAGGAGAGGGGATTAAGAGCGCTGCTTAAAGGAGCTCCAGAGATGGGCGCGAGCCGCGGCTAACAGCGCGGAACCCAGAGACGAGCATGAGACGCTAAGGCTGCTGCTGCCGCCACCAAGAAGCCTGTGTGCGAGCACAGGTCACTATCCACACCCCCCTTCCCGGAAGCCTGTGCACCCCGCCACTGCCAGGGTCCTGGGATCCAGGGACAACTTACCCGGGAGAATGCATGGCGCGCCTCAGGCTGGTGCAACGTCACACTGGCCTCTGCCGCCGCAGGCTCGCCCCGCATCGTGCCCCTCCTTCCCCCCGGCCTGAGTGAGCCAGAGCCCCCGAATCAGCGGCTCCTTTAACCCCGTCCTGTCTGAGTGAAGAACAGACGCCCTCTGGAGACCTCCACGCAGAGGCGGGGCCAAATCCAAAGCTGAGCCCCTGGGAGCTGTGCGAACAAAGAGAAAGGGAAATCTCTCCCAGCAGCCTCAGGAGCAGCGGATTAAAGCTCCACAATCAACTTGATGTGCCCTGCATCTGTGGAATACATGAATGGACAACGAATCATCCCAAATTGAGGAGGTGGGCTTTGAGAGCAAGATTTATGATTTTTTCCCCTTTTCCTCTTTTTGTGAGTGTGTATGTGTATGCTTCTGTGTGAGACTTTGTATAGCTTTGCTTTCACCATTTGTCCTAGGGTTTTATCGGTCCGTTTTTTTTTTAACTTAAAAAAATTTTTCTTAATAATTATTTTTTATTTCAATAACTTTATTTTATTTTATCTTACTTTATTTTCTTTTCTTTTATCCTCTTTCTTGCTTGCTTTCTTTCTTTCTCTCTCTCTCTCTCTTCCTTTCTTTCTTTGCAGCCAGGAGTCAGTGCTGTGCCTCTGAGGTGGGAGAGACAACTTTAGGACACTGGTCCATAAGAGATCTCCCAGCTCCACGTAATATCAAACGGCGAAAATCTCCCAGAGATCTCCATCTCAACACCAACACCCAGCTTCACTCAACGACCAGCAAGCTACAGTGCTGGACACCCTATGCCAAACAACTAGCAAGATAGGAACACAACCCCACCCATTAGCAGAGAGGCTGCCTAAAATCATAATAAGTCCACAGACACCCCAAAACACACCACCAGACGTGGACCTGCCCACCAGAAAGACAAGATCCAGCCTCATCCACAGGCACTAGTCCCCTCCACCATGAAGCCTACACAACCCACTGAACCAACGTTAGCCACTGGGGACAGACACCAAAAACAACGGGAACTACAAACCTGCAGCCTGAGAAAAGGAGACCCCAAACACAGTAAGATAAGCAAAATGAGAAGACAGAAAAACACACAGCAGATG